TAATCTTATACACGTCAAACAGATCACCCCTCCGTTCTCTCTCTGCTCCAACAAAAACAACCCAAGCCTGTCCAACTTTTCCTCGTAGCTTGCATTTTCCATTCCAGGCAGCATCCTGGTGAATTTCCTCTGCATCCCCTCTGGTGCAATCACATTTTTCCTGTAATGTAGAAACCAGAACTGCACACATTACACCAGCAGTGCTCTCACCAAAGTTCTATACAGTTCCAACAGTTCCCTGTTTTTGTAATTTATACCTCAAGTGATAAAGGCAAGTGTCCCAAATGCTTTTTGTACTGCTTTACTAACATGCCCTTCCACCTTCAGAGATCTATGGACATCACTCCAAGGTTCCTTTGTTCCACAGAATTTCCTGCTGCCATGCCTTTACTGAATATGTCCTTGTCAAATTAATCCTTCCAAAGTGTATCATCTCATACTTTTCAGGGTTAAATTCCATCTGCCACTTACCTGCCCATTTGACCATCTCGTTTTTATCTTCTTGTAGCCCAAAACACAAACTCATGTTAACCACGACCAATCGTTGTATAAAAGGTTTTTGCAAAGATTTGTAGCTTGGGTTGTGGGTGAAGTTGTTGACTTGTTTGCCAAGCTTTGTTTTTTTTGTTCAGGCATTTCACCACCATGCTAGGTGATATCGTCACTGAGGCCTCCGACGAAGCGATGTTGTTCTACTCCGCTTGGAATTTATACCGTCCAGTCATTTATAGTAGTGTTATATGGTATTTTGTAAATTACATTGGTTCGGCATGTTGTGGGTATGGGATCTTTAATTCTTGTGAGTGTTTGTCATAACATGGCTTTGGGCTTGTCTGCTACCATTATTCCTGGAAGAGACCCACCAATTCATCAACAATGTATTTGCTGGGATTAAATTCACGAAAGAAGAAGAAAACAACAATCAGCTTCCATTTCTGGGCGTCACAGTTGAACGTATGACCACAAGGAGTTCCAAACTTGGTAAACAGGAAAGCAACCCACACTGACCACCAAATCCTCAACTTCCACAGCAATTACCCCAACATCCACAAATGAAGTTGTGTTAGGACACTATTTAAACGGGCCACCACCCACTGCAATACTCCAGAACTACACATGAAAGAGGAAGACCACTTATACAAAATCTTCGCTATAAATGGACATCTCCGCAACTTCATCCGCAGGTGCCTACTGAACGAGAGGACACAGTACACCCTAACACACTGGCCACAATGCCCTACATCAAGAACATATCAGAACTGACAACAAGATTCCTACGACCAGTAGGAATCATGGTAGCAGACAAGCCCACAGCCATGTTACGACAAACACTCAAGGATTAAAGACCCGCGACATGCAGAACCAATGTGGTTTACAAAATACCATGCAATGACTGCCACAAGCATTACATCGGACAGACAGGAAGAAAACTAACCATCAGAATACACGAACATCAGCGAGCAGCAAAACGACACAACAAACTTTCCCTAATATCAGTACACTCGGACAATGAAGGCCATCAGTTTAACTGGGACAAGGTAACCATAGTAGCCCAAGCCAAACATAGACATGCACAGGAATTCCTAGAGACATGGTTCTCAACCCATAATGCAATCAAACATATAGAATTGGACCCCATGTACAAACCCATACAGAAGAAAACTGGAAATGCCAGTACTCACCATAACAGACCGGACAGTATAAATTCCAAGCAGAGTAGAACAACGTCGCCTCATCGGAGGCGGCACTGATAACGTTACCTAGCATGGTGGTGAAACATCTGAACGAAAACAAGCCAACTCAGTGAGCAAGTCAATAACCTCACTTATTTTGTCATCTGCAAATTTACTCAACTAACACCCCATACATTCATCTACGTCAATTATATAAATGACAAATACTAGGGGACCCAATGCAGATCCCTCTGGTATGCCACTGGACAATGGCTTCCAGTCAGCCTTCTGTCATCACCCTGAGTCCTACAACTGCGTGAATTTTGATTCTAGATTATCAAATTACCTTGCAAGTATTTGTATTCTTGGTTAGTCTCCTATGTGGGACCTTGTTAAAGGCTTTGCTGAAATCCAAATAAATACACTATCCTCATCTACGCTTCTGGTCACCTTCTCAAAAAATTCAATAAAATTTGTTATGCATGATGAAGCTGTGCTGAGTATCACTGATCAAGCCTTGTCTCTCCAAGTGGAAATAGACGCTGTCTTTCAGAATTTTTTCCAATCGTTTCCCTACCACTGATGTGAGATTCACTGGTCTGTAGTTCTCTGGCTTATCTCCAGAACCCTTCTTAAATATCGGAGCCCCATCAGCCCTCTGGCATCTCCTCTGTGGACAGAGAGGAATTAAAAATTTGGATCAGTCTTCTTGCACTGTCCTCCCTTGCCTCCCACAGCAGCCTGGGACACAATTCATCTGGGCCTGGAGCAATGTCCGCTTTTAAGCCTGCTGACACCTCCAATACCTTGTCCTTTCTTATGTCAATTTGTTCAAGCACCTCACAGACTCTCCCTTTGAGTTCCATTCCTTCATCCTCATTCTCATTCTCTTAGGTGAAGACGGATGTGAAGTATCGGTCTACCACTCTACCAATGTCCTCTGGCTGCGCCCACAGGTTACCCCCTGGGTCTGTAATGGACCCTACTCTTCCCCTGGTTATCCTCTTTCCATTGATATACTTATAGAATAGCTTGGGATTTTTCCCTACTTTTACCAGCCAGAGTTTTACCATACCCACTCCTTGTTTTCCTATTTGCTTTCTTAAGCTCTACTCGGCACTTTCTGTATTCCACTAGTGCTTTTGCTGGTTTGTTTCTTGAGTACCTGCTAAAAAGGCCCTCTTTTCCTTCTCACCATATGCTGGATATCTCTGGTCATCGAAGGCTCTCTGGGGTTGTTACTACTTCCTATCACCCGAAAGAGAACATGTTGGGCTTGTAACCTCTTCAATTCCTTTTTGAACACAACGCCTGCTGCTCCTCTATGGATTGCCCCACAAGCAGCTGTTCCCAGTCTACCTTGGTCAGATCTTGCCTTATTTTACTAAAATCCGTTTTCCCTCAACCAAATTTTTTTTTGGAACTTATCTATTTTTTTGATCATAATAAGCTTAAATTGTACCATCTTGTGATCACTATGACTAAAATTTTCACCCCCACGACCATCTGTCTAACTTCATTCCTCATAATTAGGTCCAGAACAGCTCTGACCTTTGATGGACCCTCTACATATTGGACTGAAAAGTTCTCCTGTATAGATTTTAAGGAAACCATGGCATCCAAGCCCCTAACACTATGTCTATCCCAGTTAATGTTGGAAAAGTTGAAATCACTGACTATAATTACCCTTTTGTTATTATGTTACAGACCTCCAAGAATTGTCCCCTAACGTGCTTCTCAATTTCCCATGAATTCTCTGGTGGTCTATAATAAAAACCTAGCAACGTGGCTGTCCTTTTCTCATTCCGAACCTCTACCCACAAAGCTTCATTCAATGCTCCCTCCGAGATGTTATCTCTCCTTACTGCAGTAATTGGCTCCTTAATTAATAATGTAATGCCACCTCCTCTTTCATCGCCTCCTCTGTCTTGCCTAAAGATTCTATATCCCGGAATACTGAGCTGCCCATCCTGTCCTTCTCTCAACCACATCTCTGTGATGGATACTGTATCACACTTGCATGTGTCAATCATTGTCCTTAACTCATCCGTTATACCTGTGATACTCTTGTCATTAAAGTAAAGACCATCCGGCCTTACTTCCTTGAAAATTGGGGAGGTGATGGCCTAGTGGTGTTATTGCTGGACTGTTAATCCAGAGACGCAGATAATGTTCTGGAGACCCAGGTTTGAATCCCACCATGGCAGATAGTGGAATTTGAATTCAATAAAATAGCTGGAATTAAGTATCCAATGATGACCATGAACCTATTGTCGATTGTTGGAAAAACCCGCTTGGTTCACTAATGTTGTTTAGGGAAGGAAACTGCCATCCTTACCTGGTCTGACCTACATGTGACTCCAGACCTACAGCAATGTGGCTGAGTCATAACTACCCTCTGGGTAATTAGGGATGGGCAATAAATGCTCCTTAGCCAGCGACACCCTCATCTCGTTAATGAATAAACAAATTAATATAGCTGCCCACCCTCTGACTTGATTGCTTTATTGCATGATTTTGTGCCCTTATTCTGGTAACATTCTGTACCCAAACCCACCATCCCTCCCCAAACCAGTGAATGACTTAAACTCTTCCCAAGATCTGAAGGAAAAAACAACACCAGCAACAACTTGCACTTGTGTAGCTTCTTTAACATACTTAAAAAGATCCCCAGGAGTTTCACATAAACATCAAATAAATTTAGATGTCAAGCAACATAATGAAATACTGTGCTAAGTGACCAAGAACCCAGGCGGAGTTTGGTGGTAGGGGCAGAATGGGGACAGTGGAGGGGTAAGCATGATGAATGTAATGATGGATGCTTGAGGGCAGTAGAGTCAGAAGATGCCGAAGTAGATAGAAGATGGCAAAAGGACATGGTGAGCAACAGGTAACACAATAATTGTCAATCACCCTCTCAGGTTTTGCCAAGTCAATTTACTCATCGATTTACGAAGAGGCCCCTGCCTTCTGATTCACTGAGACTTGGTGTGAATCAAAGTAAAACAGAGTAGGATTATCAAGGTCAAGGATTAAAAAAAAGAACAAATCAGAGAAAATATAATTCACATGAAGTGATTCTGATTTCACTGTCTTCTGGCAAAACTTTCAAAAATATCCATCTGAAAGAGCCCTCAGAGAGTTAATTAGAGTGAGTTACAAAGAACTTGTTCAGCTTGAACAGCAGGATGCTGTCTAAAAGAAAATATTAAACAGACCTTAGTCAGCTTGGGGTATTTATTATAAAAGTCAAGAGTAGAGGGGAAAAGTGAAGTAAGAATAAAGTTAACACTAATGGACCAAGAAAGACATTTTTAAATTACTTACTTTGAATAGTTAAAAAGTCGGCTGTCCCACAGCAAGTGAGTGCCACGGGCTCCAGAATGGAAAAAGCAGGAATCAGTCCCGTCAAATAGGTTGAGACCATCCTCTGTGTTTTTCGACGCATGGCTGTGGACGACATCCAGCAGCACAAACAGTCCCATTGAGTGGGCTGTGTCAACCAGTTCCTTCAGCTCATCAGGGGTCCCAAAGCGACTATACACACAAAAAAATGCATACAAGAACATGTTACTTTTCTCTTATCATTTTGTTTGCTTTTTAAAGTGTCTGATCTTTATTGCTATCTGGGTCTTTCAATGAATGTCCTCACAACTAAGCTGTCACATTTTACTTCTGTGCTGTTGACCAAAATCAATATGGAATTAAAAAACACAAACAAAGTTCAAAACCCCCAGAAATCAAGTGCTCACATTATCCCCAACCGCAAAGCCACAACATTTTTCACAGCCTCTCACCAACAAACAAACCTTTTGCCACATATTCTCGCCAAACTGTCCTCTTCCTCCAATGCCTACAATTTAGAATAAAAGTACTCCAAAGATCACAGGTTGAGAATCCAAATCTCAAGCACAGTAAGGCCAGGCATCACACTGTGACCCTGAACCAGACAAAGTTCAACCTCCATTAGCCTTGCAAACTCTTAAAAAAAACTGAGATTCAAAGACTTATACAGCACAAAGGGAGGCCATTTCAGCTGTCATCTCTGTCCTGGTTGTATGAAAACAAAAGCTGTCCAATTTAGTTTTCAGCTCTAATTTAACTTTTAGTTATATCACTTCAACCTTGAATTGAATAGCAGGACACAAGCTAGAGTCAGTATGTGGATCCCACGTCATGATCTGAATAACTCATCAATGGAAGCCAAAGATCCTACGGCATTATCCGAAGGGAAACAAGGAATTTCCCTGGTATCCTGGTTAAAATACTACCCCCAGCAAAAGGGTTGGAAATCAAGGCAGGATTGATGGAATGAAGATACAGATCAGCATTGATATAATTTTCTGGCAGAACAGGATTGAGGAGCGAATTGCTCTATAAGAACAGCTAAATGCTAAACTCAAGTTGAATAGTTTTCCCATGTTCCTCCTTAATACGTTGTAAATTTCATTGCTACTTGTGGTACCTTGTGCACAAAATGGTTGCTGCTTTTGCCAAATGTCGACAAGTACTACATTTCAATAAATTATTCAGTGTTTTGGACAGGCAACTATCTCTGCAGAAGGGAAATCTTTTATTTCCCCTGCATATGAAGATAAATCATGTAAGGAGCAGCAGCTCTTTTCCACCAAGTATATTTAATATACATGTACCAGCTGACCATAAGTGAAAAATAAAAGTGCCATATAACATTGTTTTTAATTAATCTAATCTTTCCCAGCAGTTTCTAGATCTGGAAATATCACAGAGCAGAGCTTTAGCTTGGTAGCAAACAGCAATGCAGCAACTAGTTGGAGAAGCACAGACTCTGTAAATGGGCTGCTGCCTGTTTCACATGGACCGATATGGAACAATTCACCTTTTTTTGTAATCTTAGTGTGCAGAAGGAGCAGAGGGTGGGGTTTGGTATTAGCATTTAAGTTGTACCTCATCACATCTCTCAAAATCATACACTTCACCAACAAAGAATTGCTTGGAAGTACAATTACTGCTCTCTCTCTCTCTCTTTGAAACCAGCAGGATACCCCTGCCCTCAGCAGCAAGATATGTGAACGGTAACTCTACTTTTGGTCTGGTTGGTTGAAGCAGTAATGTTACCCAGGATACTGAGAGAATTACCAACTCTCTTTCAAAAGATGGCTATAGGTTCTTTAAATGACCACACACGTACTCAAACACACACATAAATATGGTTAACGTCTCATTCTCACCCATAATAAGATCAAGAACAATGAAGTAATAGCATGTGATTAAGTTCCAATTCATTTACAAAATTTAGGACTATGGGTTTAATGGGGTTTCATTGAACCAAATTTGCTAAGGGAGAGAAGCAGGGTATTGATCAATGGCTCTTCTTCAGATTTGGATTGGGATAGTATAGGTACCTCGAATCGAGCTACACAAAAACTGGGCATTAAGGTACTTTATCTGTATTTTAATAACTCTCAGTAACCTGGACTAGTGTGCACAAAGCATAATTTCAAATATTACAGATACAAATCTCAAATGTAAACAGTGATGGTAACTGTTGTTTCAGAAGGAGATGTGAACACAAATCTTTGAAGGTGGCAGGACAATTTTGAGAAGGCTGTTGAAAAGGGTACAAGGTGCTTAGTTTTATCAATAAAAGCAGAGTGTGCAAAAAGTAGGAAACTGCATTCAATGTTTTCGAAACTCTGGTTAGATCCTATCTGGAATAATGCAATGTTTTACAGCTCAACACTTTAGTAAAAATATCAAGGCTTTAGTGCAGAGGGAGAGTGCAGAGTGGGAATTTTTAACCATGGCACAGAGAAGATTTGATAAAGAATCTCAAAAATAACAAAAAATTCTGAATACCTTAGGCAGGGAGAACTGTTTCCAAAATAATAAGATTAGTAACAAGACGACATAAATTTAAGGCAACTGACAAAAGAAGCAGATGACATCAAAAATTTCTTCTTTTAATATAATCAATTGCTACAAACAGAAATGGGCTGTCAAAAAGGGTGGTGAAGGCAGATTCAATGATAGATTCCAAAACAGAGCTGGATAAAAAACACGAAAAGGAAAGGAAAAGGGTAACTCAGCTGCAATGGGCCAAATAGCCTGTGTGTGTTTTGCATGATTCTGTGACATCAGTCTGTTAAAGAAATCACCAGCGTGGAGGTTCATTTGTCACTTTTGCTTTTTCATAGAAATCATAGAATCCCTACAGTATGCGAGCACGCAATTTGGCCCATTGAATCCACACTGACCCTCCAGAGAGTGTACCACCTAGACCCACCCCCTATCCTGCATTTCCCACCCTAGACACTATGGGCAATTTAGCATGGCCAATTCACCCAACCTGCACATCGTTGGACTGTGGGAGGAAACCAGAGCACCTGGAGGAGCAGACGTGGGGAGAATGTGCAAACTGCACACAGACAGTCACCCAAGGGTGGAAATGAACCTGGATCCCTGATGCTACGAGGCAGCAGTGCTAATCACTGTGTCACCATGCTGCCCCAAAAGCTTCAGGAAGTAAGCGTGTCATGGAAAGGATAACACACTGGTTGGTCATACCTTGAAGCAGCAAAGAAGCTGGTAACTTGATAACCGAAACTGGCATAATAGGCATGCTCCATAATAGCCATCAGCTGGATACAATTATAACCTGCAAATTAGAAAAACAAAACAATTCTCTGTATTTTGAAATGAGGTTACTTTTAATATCTTGTAATTAAATAGCATTGATATAAACTCATCAGATCATTGCTTGCTGTCACAACATCCCTTCTCAACCCATTGAGCTATCCATCCAAAATGATGCATCTTTGTTCCCCACTGTAGTTGACAACTGATGGCTAAATCACAATCAGTCACTGAACAGCACAGCAAAGAAGAAGACTCATACCCCAAACTGCATACATTAGTTGTTTAGAAGAGCTGTTCAAATAGTCCCATTCCTTCTGCTCTTTTTCCCATAGCCATGATAAATGACCCCTGGGATTTATGTGACTTCATGTTTGAAATTGGTGACTTCCACATCTTGTAGTGGCAGCCTTTAATCTCATAAAACAATGGCTTATGCTGTGGTGGTCAACTATAGTAAGCATTGCCTGGTGTGGTGCCAAGTGTGGTGCCGACACTTGGCACCACAGTCTAATATGCCAATCTCTGCCACACTTACAACAGTGGCAGGTAGTCAGCTGAGAAGATGCATGACTTGCTGGCCACTGTTTTCTCTGGCTTCTAGTTTCTGCTCACTTATTCCAAACAGTTAATCTCCAGGGATCACGGTTATCAGTGACTGTCTCCGAATTGTCAGGGTTAATGTCCATCATCTTCAAACAGGGGGAGGCGACGGCTCAGTGGTATTATTGCTGGACTGTTAATCCAGAGACCCGGACAATGTTCTGGGGACCCGGGTTCGAGTCCCACCATGGCAGATGGTGGAATTTGATTTCAATAAATATCTGGAATTAAGAATCTAACAATGACCATGAATCCATTGTCAATTGTCGGAAAAACCCATCTGGTTCACTAATGCCCTTTAGGGAAGGAAACTACCATCCTTACCTGGTCTGGCCTACATGTGACTCCAGACCCACACAGCAATGTGGCTGACTCTTAACTGCGCTCTGGGCAATTAGGAATGGGCAATAAATGCTGCCTAGCCAGTGATGCCCTCATCCCACGATTGAATAAAGAAAAAAAAATCATGGTTATCAGCGACTGTCTCTGAGTCGTCAGGGTTAACGCCCACCATCTTCAACAAACTTGCTTACAGATATTCTTACACCACAGACATGGACCTGCAAGTGGCTGTGACCCACTGGTTGGTTCACTGTATGGAGAATCTTACAACATCATCGATCTGGTGAATGTATCTGAGACAGCACAGACTTAGCTGACTGTGCAAGGAGTGTACGCAGATGGAATTAGAACACTCCAGGACCTCTAGGCCAGTGACCTTCTGTTGTCAGGAGATGCTGAGGATACCCTTGGCTACTTCCAACAAACACCAGTTATAGTACTGACTCCTGAAAAGAGGAGATGGTGGCATAATGGTAATAACACTGGACTAGTAATCTAGAGGCCTAAGTTAATGTTCAGAGGACACAAACTCAAATTTAATTTAAATTTTATGAATAAATATGGATAAAGGAGGAGAGTAACATAGTTGATTCTGAAACAGAGTCCTGAACCTAAATAAACACAATTACAAAGGTGTGAGGCATGATCGGATTATGACAAATTGGGGAGTGTTACAAACATTTAAACAGTGCGTGGATGAACTTCAACAATTGTTCATTCCTGTTCAGCAGGAAAGTAAAACAGGAAAGATGGCCTGGCCACAGCTAACAAGGGAAATTAGGGATTGTATTAGATCCAAGGAAGAGACGTACAAATTGATCAAAAAGAGCAGCGGACCTGAGGAATGGCAGCAGCTTAGATTTCAGCAAAGGAAAACAAAGGGATTGATTAAGTGTGCGGGGGTGGGGGGGGGGGGGGGGGGGGGG